CCCATCCCCGCTTTTCCCTCATACACTGTCCCTCGATGACCTCAACCAAGGAATCCAAGCTTTAAGTCCTGGTCATGTAAAACCTCTGAAAGCTGAGGAAAATAGTAACAAGATTTGGGATTTCAACCACAAGTCTACAGTCTCAAATCTAAGCCGGGTATAGTGGTGCACGCCTGTAATCACAGCCCTCAAGAGGTTGAGGTAGGAGGATCGTTAATTCTAGGGCAGCCTGGGCTACAGTGAGTTCAAGGCCAGCCTGCACTACAAAGTGAGACCCTGTCTCCAAAAAATCAACCAAATAAATAAATAAATAAATGTATGTCTCAAATCTAAATTTAGTCAACAAGCATGAAAAAACAGAAAAATTCTATTTATAAAACACTTAGGTGCAAAAATATGATAAAATAATTTAAATATTTAGTAACTAGTAATTTCAAAATCATGGTGTGTAAAGTAGCCTATGAATGTAAATTCATGAGCCAGATGTGGCGGCACATGTCTATAATCATCGCAGCACTCGGGCAGGCTGGGGCGGAAGGATTACAAATTTCAGCCCAGCCTGGGCAACTTAGCAAGATCATGTCTCAAAATAAAAATTACAAAGGGCAAAAAAAGAGAAGAAATTTCTGTGAAGAAATACGAAATGATAATTAAAGAGTGAAAATAATCAGATAGTGCATGAAATCACACTTGGAAAAAATATCTTTCAGTGGACAATTACTGAGTACTCACAGTGTGCCACTCTAAATCCTGACTGTATATTGCAAACTACTAACAAACTGCTGCCAAGACTGGCCTGTGTCTCACTGCTGTTCAGCAATATTCACTAGCACCTGTCGTCATGTCCACTGTGCTAAGCACAAGGGGCACTTCCATAAACGAGACACGTGCCCAGACTCTGGTGGAGAGAAAAACAGAAAGAGAAGAAAAACCCAATAGCTGAGAATTACAATAAGGAAGTAAACAAAGGGCCAGTAAATAGTAACTTCTGGAGTCGGGGTGGTCCGGAAGCAACACATGCTGAGACCTCAGTGACGAAATGGAGTCAGCACCAAGAAGTTCTAGGAAAGAGCATTCCAAGCAGCAGGAAGGGGAAGTGCAAAGGTTCTGAGTTGAGAATGGGTGTCAGACAGCAGACATGGCAGGCTTGAATACAGTGAGCAAGGCAACAAAAGACACAAACTGAAGTCACAGCAGTAGACAGAAGCCAGACTGTGTAGTTTTTTGTAAGGCCATGGGGAGAAGTCTGGATTTCATTCCAAGTACAATGGGAAGCCGGTAAGTATTTTAAACAAGAAAGCAACGTGATCTGTTTTGCATCTTAACAAAGTCATTCTTGTAGTTGAATAAAAATGTGTTGAGGGCCAGGGATTTAGCTCAGTGGTTCTGCTGCCTGCCTTGCAAGCGCAAGGTCCTGAGTTTGATCCCCGGTACCAAAAAAAAAAAAAGAAAACAGATTGAAAAGAACCAAGAGGAGGAAATGGGCAGACAAGGTAGGAGGTAATCACAGTAAAATAGGCAAGAAATGATGGCAACGTCGATTAAAATGCCAGGAGTGCAGACATGGGGGAAACCAATATCAGGTGTGTTTTATTTGTGTGTTGTTGTGGGTGGATTGAACCCAGGAACTTCACACTGAGCCCCATCCCAAGCTGTGATGGTGGAGCGATTGTGTCTACTTGGGAAGTTTCGTTAAGAGAAGCTTAGCCAAGTCTGCTCTGCAATTCCATGCCGGGCGGCTCCACCACCTGGATGGTGTACAGGGGAATTGAGGAGGGGGCCGCTGCTTCTGTCCCTCCGGAGGAGCTCCAGTCTTCCCTAGGGCGTCATCTCCTGGCTTCCAGGGAGCCTGCGGGTGTAGACTCTTCAGCCTCCACCGCAGCAGACCCATCGCACTGCAGTGAGCTCCAGACCTCCAAGTTCTTCGTCTCTGGTGTGCAGACGGACCCTCTGCACTCTTCCTCATCTGACTCTGGGTGGCCACTGTGAGCCAGTCTTGTAAATTCATATATATTTATATATCTTCTGTTATACGTGTTTTTCTAGTAAATTCTGACTGATGTACCAGCCCTTTTTTTATTTTGAAGACAGGGTCTTGCTACATCACCAAGCTGCTCAGGCTGGGGTTGAACTTGTGACCCTTCTGCCTCAGCCTCCCAGAGTGCTTGGATTACAGGTGTGCATGCACTACCATACCCAGTCAGATGTATTTTAGAGATAGGGGAGCTGACTGGATGTGGGGTGATAAAGGACAGAAGAGAATCGTAGGTGGATCCTAGGTTTCTGGGTTGAGCAATTAGATTGTTAGGCAAGCCATTTACTAAAATGGGCAATGAAAATTACTGAATTTATTCTTAATTTATACTTCCTTCCAACCTAGCGGACACCAAAGACTTTTCAACGGTCAAGTTCAGTGAAAAGCACATTTCATCTCTCTCCATAGCTAAACTTCCTCTTAAAACTTCACTCTCTCTTGGTTTCTTCTCCTTTTTCTTTTGTGGTCCTGGGAATTGAACCCAGAGCCCTTGCATTGAGTTACATTCCCATCCCATCCCCTTTTGTAAAATTTTTAGACAGGATCTTGCTAAGTCACTTAATTACCCAGGCTGGGCTAAAACATGTGATCTTCCTGCCTCAGCCTTCCAGAGTGCTAGGATTATAGGTGTCACAACTAGTTTTCTTAAAATATCAAACTTTCTAGGATTTTCTCTTACTCACAGAGCTTCTTTCTCAGGATCCATTCACCACAAGGCTCTATCTCTCTGCTAATTCCTTCACACATCACCCCTGATGGCCTCGACCAAGGAATCCAAGCTTTAAGTCCTGGTCACATAAACCCTCTGAAATCTGTATTTCCCACCGTAGCTTTCCCCTCCCTTCCAGAGCCGGCTACTCAGCTGTCTTCCAAATCTCTATCTGGATGTCTCAGTAGCATCTCAGACTCCACAGATACAAATGTGCTCTCATCTTCCGCTGACACTCCTATTCCTCCATCTCACATCTTTCATCTCCAGAGGCCCCACCTTCTCAAAGTAAGCCCATCTTCCCAAGGCCCGACCCCGTGGATCAGCTTATCCACCCTCTATTTCAAGCCCACATGTGTCAGTTTCCAAGCCCTATCAAATGTGCTTTCTCACTAGCTCCCGAATCTGAACTCTTCACACCCCATAGCCTTCAGTTAGGTCCCCCTCTGCCTTCTCCTCCCCTTCCTCTTCCTCCTCCTTTTTCCGATCATTACACCACTCCGTGATTTCTCTGACCTCAGCCTCACACCATTCTAATCATCCTTCAGTGAGTTTCAGAGGTACAGACCCAGCTCCCAGTGATTTGGTCTGGGGCCTTATACACTCTGACCTCCATCCCACTGAACTACCTGCAGGCTCATTCCTAACTCCTGCGTCTGCTGTGTGTATTCCTAACTGCACATCTCCAAGGCCTACTCCTTCCAAACAGCCCTTCCTCGGGCCCCTGAACTTCAGAGGAGTTGATGCCCCTACACACCTGTATCGGAAGACTTCTTACAGTACTTATCACAGCGTTTCTCCCCTGAACTCCGAGCACTTCTGGCCAGACTGGGGAGGCTGAGGCAAAAGGACTGCTTGAGCTCAGGAGGTCAAGGCCAGTCTTCAAGTGGAAAAACCGTTCCCTGGTCCTGCTCCGTTTAGCACCCTGAGTTTATGATCACCCTGACTGTTTTGTCCTCCCCTCAATGTCTGACTTCACACATAATTCTGCCCGACATAAAAAGGATTTCTTTCTTTCTTTCTTTTGTACCAGGGATAGAACTTGGGACCTTGCACTTTCAAGGGAGAGGGCAAAACCACTGAGCGAAATCCCCAGCCCAAAGAATTTCTCATAAACCTTAGTTTTAGGCTGTTTTCTACTTGTTTTCTCAAACACAGATACAAGCAACAACTGAAAAACACACTTTTGACCTCTTCTTTTTGCTTATGAGACATTAATACAGAGGATCGTGTCTTCTATGTACAAGGTGTATCTTCCTCTGCCAGCTCTGAAGGCTGCAGGGACTTTACTGGCTCCACTACACAACCCCAGGAGTCGCTGGTTAAATTATGGCACGGGGTTAATCCAACTAAACTTCCCCTGTTTTCCCTGGTCCCAAAGACTTGCCTCGAAAGGACTTTTCCATAAAAGAAATGCTTGCGAAGTTTTGCAAAACAAAAGGGAAGGAAAAAAAAATTCTGGTTTCTTAGCAGGCGGCCCTCTGTATAACCATTACTTAACCAAATACTGAGACAGCAACAAGTACCTTTGAACAACACAGAAAAAGTCCTGCGGCAAGACACCACCTCTGATGTCGTACAATAACTCCTCTGATTCTTGTAAATCGAGCCAAAGGTCTTCCCTGAACTCGAGTCAGGATATTTGGTTCAAGTAAAATCGTGCTTTTAAAATGCTCTGTATCTTGTCTAACTAGATATGGAATTAGACATACAATCACGGATTTGACCTAATTCTTTTAAGCCAGGTCCTCTCACTGGTATCCCTGGCTCTTTGCATTCTTGCCCAGAAGTCATGCAAATTTCTTCTGGGTGCCTTACAGACCCCGGAGATGAGACAAATGAGAGATTCCAGGGCTCTTCCATTCCGAAGAAGGGATCCGAGCACATTCCTCGCAGACCTCTCAAGGTAGAACAAAACGCTGGCTTGCAACAAGGAAACAAACCAACAAAGGCCCCGCAGTTGGAAAACCTGCAGCCTTCCGCCACCTCCCGAAGGTGGGGAACGCCTGATCCCGGGTCCCGGCCGGCGTCCCGGGGGCCTGGGCCACCCGCTGGGACCCCACGACCGAGGCAGGCAGGGGAACCCCGGGGAGCCCCGGGAGGCGCTGGGTGGCGGCGCCGCCTCCCCGCACTGTGGGTCCCGGGAGAAGAAAGCGGCCGCGCGCCCCGCCTGCCCAGGAGCTCGGGCCCCGCGGAGGCCGCGCTCCCCGCCCGCGGCCCCGGCGCCCCCGCGACCCCCGGCCCGGTTTCACTCACAGAGCCCGAGCGCTGTCGCCAGCACCGACCACAGCCAACGTCTGCTGTCGGAGGCTGCAACCACCGCCCCGGCTCCGGCGGGCACGGCCATCGTCCCCACTCCGCCAGCTCCCTCTGCGGCTCAGCCCTGCACGACGAGCCCTCTCGCCGCCCCGCGGACCCACCGCCCCTCCCCGCCCCACCACTCATAACCATTTGAGAGT